GCCCCTGCTCCTCCCACCGCCTCGCACCGTCCAGACTGCTCCAGATTCCCAGGGAGACCCTTCCTGGAAGGAGTTGTCACCCTGTTCTAACCCACTCCAGATTCCCATGGAAACCCTTCCTGGAAGGTCTTGTCACCCTGTTCTAACCCACTCCAGATTCCCATGGAAACCCTTCCTGGAAGGTCTTGTCACCTTGTTCTAACCCACTCCAGATTCCCATGGAAACCCTTCTTGTCTCCCTGTTCTAACCCACTCCAGACTCCCATGGAGGCCCTTCCTGGAAGGAATTGTCTCCTGGTGCGGGGCTCGGTCCCTGGGATGAATTTGGATCCCCCAGGGTGAGGAGCTCAGTCCCTGGGATGAATTTGTGTCCCCTGGGATGCAGGGTTTGGTTCCTAGGATGAATTTGCATCCCCTGGGATGCAGGGCTCAGTCCCTGGGATGAATCTGGGTCCCCTGGAGTACAGGGCTCAGTCCCTGGGATGAATTTGGATTCCCTGGAATGCAGGGCTCAGTCCCTGGGATGAATTTGGATTCCCTGGAATGCAGGGCTCAGTCCCTGGGATGAACCTGCCCGTGTGGATCCTTACCATGCCTGCAGAGGAGGAGGAGGAGGAGCGTGCGGAGGAAGAGGCCGGGGTTTTCCAGCTGTCCCGGGCTCCTACTGCCGACAGGTCTCCCCATTCCCATCCATGCGGAGACCGGGGGGTCCCTCACCCACCGGCAGCTCCCGGCGTCATCCGGCAGCTCCCCTGGAAGTGGAGCAGAGGTGGGATCTGAGAGGGCCCTGCAGCTGCCACCGAGTCCAACCCAGCACTTCCAAGGCCACCAACTTGTCTCCAAGGCCACCAACTTGTCTCCAAGGCCACCAACTTGTCCCCAGGTGCCACATCCGCACAGCTTTGAACACTTCCAGGGCTGGGACTGCATTGCTGCCCCGTGCATCCCACGCCAGGGCCTGACCACCCTTTCCATGAGGAAACTTTCCCTGATATCCAACCTAAACCTCCTGAGATGCAGCTTGAGCTGTTTTCTCGGGGTGTGGGTGCTGGGCACCCTAATCCTCCCTCAGTCTGGGGACACCACACGTGTGACTGGAGCACCCCTGGGTGCCAGCACCGTGTCCTGCTCGTCGGACCCTCATTCCCACATTCCCACTGCCCCCCTCACCTGCGTCAGCCTCCTCAGGAAACCATCTGGCTCCCGGCACCCAGAGCTCCTTCCCTGCGGGACACATGGGTGTCCTTGTCACCGGCTCTGCCCCAAGAGACAGCTGGAAAGTTCCATGGGATGACCCGGGAAAATTCCAGCCTCCCTGGGCTCTTCCATGGCCTCGGAGCTGGATAAAATCCGGGGTTCTGGACGTCTGTGCCGGGGGTGGGGAGCAGAGCCCCCCATGCAGCACCGTGCTCCCCTTTCTCCTCCCCGGCCACCTTTGCTCCGTCCTTTCCCCCGCGGGGCAGAGGCGGGGGATGACATCGATCCTCCTAAATTTAGCCGGGCTCAGATCCAGCTGGGAATGACAGCCGGAGCGGCAGAGGGAGCAGGAGCGCCGGGATGGGGGGTTGGGGAGGGGGCACAGGAGCTTCAGGAGCCCCCAAACCTGGGGGCTGTGGGGTCACGTCCCCTGTGGGAGCTTCCCTGGAGCTCCACGGGTTTCCTTCCTGGAAACCTCCCACCTGCACCCCCAGGAGTGAGTCCCTGTGGAAAAGCACCGTGCTTTTCCCTGCAGGATGTATCCTCACAGGGAATGGGATGTATCCTAACAGGGAGTGGGATGTATCCCCACAGGGAATGGGATGTATCCTAACAGGGAATGGTATGTGTCCCCACAGGGAATGGGATGTATCCTAACAGGGAATGGGATGCATCCTAACAGGGAATGGGATGCATCCTAATAGGGAATGGGATGTATCCTAACAGGGAATGGGGTGTATCCCCACAGGAAGTGGGATGTATCCTAACAGGGAATGGGGTGTATCCCCACAGGAAGTGGGATGTATCCTCACAGGGAATGGGATGTATCCCCACAGGGAATGGGATGTATCCTCACAGAGAATGCTTTTCCAGCATTTTCTCTCACAGCTTCCCCTCCTGGGGCCCAGCCAAGTCCTGAACACAAACACGGCCCGGGCCGAAGGTGGCCGATGTCCCCAGGGGTCGGTGACCGCTCGGCCATGCCGGCTGCATTCCCAAAATCCCACCTGCAGCAAGGAGCTGCACCAGCCCCTGTTTCTGCAGGGAGGAGGAATGGTCAAAAATGTCCACGCCAGCATTTTCCAGGTCCATTTTGGAGGCCATGGGAGAGGACAGGGATGGGAATCCCAGCATTGGGAGGGACAGTTTGGTCCCTCAGCGCCCCAGCACCCACAAATCCCTTTGGAAATCAAGTTCCTGCTGTTTTCCAGGCCTGGCTCTGCCCAGCAGGGAGCGAAGCCTCGTGCCCACCTGAGCCCAGGAGAGCTGCAGCGCTGGGATTGGGGTGGGAAGGGAAGTATTTGGGGGAAACAGGATTTGCTAAAGAGCTGGAAGAGGGGATCCCAGGTTGGGCCATGCGTACAGTCAGTCCCAAAGGATCCACTCGTCCTTCCACACCGTGCTTGGCATAAATCCCATCCCTCCATCCCCAGCACCTCCCAGTGCTTCACTTACCCCGGCAAATGCCACGGGATGGGCACCAAATCCCCCCGGACCCTCCGGAGGCGAATCCTGGTCCCTGGCCTGGGTCTGGCTCCGGGTGGGAATGAGGAGGGAATCCCGGCTGTTGCCGCCCGGGGTTGGGAGCGGAGGGAGCAGCAAACAGCTGAAGGCTCTGACAGCCGGATCCGTCCCCGGGAGCCGAGGGGGCTCCACCGGCCCTTTATAAATAGCCAGGAGGATTTTTGATCCCGAAAGGCGGATTCCAGTGGGGAGGGGAAGGGAGAAGGCGGGGAGGGCCCAAGACTTCCCAGCGGC